GCATTGGACCATTAAAACCTCAACACAAGTAATGGACATTGATTGATTACAAGATTCGTGGGATTGGACATCAAAGTATATGTAACTGCCTTATGGTGACAAACTTCACTAGTATAAATCTGTAATTGCAACAGGGCAAAAGTAAGGTTCTATTTAACAGGTTTGATGACAATGAATACAGAATTAATACAAGGTACTGTTTGGTAACAACCATAGAATTGCAGACGAACAAATTCATTTTATTCCATAATGCAGCCAAACATATCCACTGAGGTAACAACCAGAACTTCAATCTCAACTTTACCATATATCAGAAGTGTCCTGTAACCACTGAAAGAAATAACAAGATGAAATTCTATATGTAACGTTCATTCTTTAATAATCTGGACTCATTTAGCAGGAGCCTGCAGATCCTGGGTCTTCTTGAACAACTTATGCTGAATATGCTGCTGGAAGGTGCGAGGAGGGAACATCGCAGCCTCTGTCTCTGACACCGTCTCTGGCAGTGGCTTGAGGATGATCTTCTCCTTAGGAGGTTCACAGAAAACTGCCCACGAAATCCTAACCTTCTCCTTGTTAACCACACCCCTGTGGAGAATGCTCTTGTACTTTCCATTGCTGAGGATCTCAATGGTGTCACCAATGTGCATGACGATGGAGTTTGGAACGCATTTAGCCGTGATCCACTTGCCCTTGTAGAAGAGTTGGAGACCGGGCACCATGTTGTGGAGGATGAAGGTGAGTGCACTCACGTCAGTGTGAGCTTCAACGCCAAGGGCGAGCTCAGGCTGAGGGCATTTGGGGTAGTAGTTGATCTTCATTTGGAGGAGGAGCTCTTCCAGGCCACCAACTTCCTCCTCTAGCCTTCCTTCTTCCAATCCCAAGCCAAGTGATAGCACCGAGAGAATTTTGGTTGCAAGGCCTCTCAGTTGCTTTGCATATACACTGGTCAATTCACTGTGTGTGTGTGTATATATATATATATATATGTTGTCACCAGAAATAATTAGAGTTAATTCATATTGTTAGAAAAAAAAAATGTCAAAGTCAACCACTAAATTTTTTCAATTAAATATTAGATGAAGATTCTAAATCCATCCCATTAGTCCGGAATTGAAAACATTACTTCTAGCTAAAATTCAAGAAATAAGAGAGAACTTACGTGTAATCGGCTGGTGTTTTAGGCCAAATGGACATGTCCCTCTTATCCTCGGGGTAAACAAGATGGAAGAAGTAATCCTCCCACTCTAGCTGCCCACTAGTATTGTTAGCGAGCTTGCTACCATACCCTTGAATCTGGCCGGTTTTCTGGTCATTAGCATACTTCTCCTTCTCCTCCACCGGAAGATTGAAGAAAGCCTCCCCGGCTTTCTTCACACGGTCCATGAGATCATCGGAAATGCCATGGTTGACTAGGTGCATCACGCCCCAATCCATGGCTGCTTTCTTGAGCTCCTCCCTGCATCTCTCCCTCACCTCTGGGTCTTCAGAGTCAATATCTCTGAGGTCAATGGTGGGAACCTGAGACCCTTCGTCTTTCTTCTCTTCTTCAAAGACGTTGCCCATGTTGGTCAGCTCTTCCTGGGGTCTAATGTACTCTTTTGGGATCGTCTGAATCCCACTGCTTGCCAAGCTCTCTACTCTTGGGGCCACGGAAGTCACCATGGTAGCAATCTGAATTTGTTCTCAAACACCCCTGAATAAACAAGATGAGGGTATATGAATGTTGAGTGCGGGTTTTATAGGGTGAAATCGGCAAGGAAAAGCAATGGAGAAGAGAGGAAGAAGTTGTGCTGAAGCCGTAAGAGAGGAAGAAGAGATGTGGTAAGTTGCACACGTGATGTTCTAGCTAGCTCCCTCCCTTCTCTGGGCCATCTTTTGACTGGAAGTTTGGAGTATGTCATCTATGAATAGCTCTTTGATTTGGATTATAATAATTTTGTGTTTACTTCCAAAGGATTTGAAGTGATTGGGTTGAGCACATTAATGAAGCGTAAAAGCAACCACTAACCAACTAAAATAGGGGCCGCACGTTTCATCTAACCCATATGTTAGCGACTTAGCGTAGCAAAAATTACGTAATCATTCTATTACTATTTTAAGGTGGTATTTTAATTAATTAAAATTTTAATATCTTAAATTAAAAATTTTAACTTCAAATTTTAAAATGAGGTGAAAAAAATAAAAAAAATTATTTTTAATTATTTAATTTATCATTTAATATAATAAAAACACATAATAATTGTACTTAGGATACCATAGCTGGTTTGCTTGCATGGGATATTTTTTTACTTAAAATAATTACGATTCATATGATGCCAAGACTTACTGGCATAATTAAAAGTACCTCTTAAAATAAGTCTACATCATTTTTTATTATATTTTTTTGATAAATTTAAAATTATTTATATATTAATTGAAAAAAAAAATTTATAAAATTCGAATACGCAACTCACAAAATATAAACGATTTTAAATCATAATTTATATCAATAGACCAGAATGGGTTATTCTATTTTTTACTATATTATACTAATAAAACTTCAAAGATTATATAAGTCTGTCACATTTTTAATGCTCGGAAACTAGGGATGAAGATCACAGTTCATATAGCCTTTTTTGAGGTTTACAAAGATAGATGATGGGTAGCTGATGGCTCGTGTTTGCAGCTCGCAGTCAGCATATGGTATGTATAACACCAGAACCCTTCTCTCTTGTTTCCAAATTAAAATACCCATTGACGATTAAGAAGGTTCCGACCGTCCCCTAAGACTCCGAGTTGTTGTGACCAACATGATATCTTTTTTTGAAGTTATCAGCTTCTAGAAGTCATCAATGCAGAGACACTGAGAAAGAGAGAGAGAGAGAGAGAGGGAGAGAGTCATCAACTTCTAGAAGTCATTAATGCACAAGGAATTGCTTTTGGGTACTCTTCTTTGGGGGTAGCTAGCTGCAACATCTGACCCTATGGCCTTTGCATTTTTGTCTGAGTGGTAATTAACACCAAAAACAGATTCAAAACAAGGGAAAGGAGAGGGACTAATTTGTCTCACATGTGATACTTCAGTATTTAAGAATTGAAATTTTTATGTTAAAAATTTTAAATTTAAATCATAAATAAATATAAAAAAATTTAATAAGGAAATGACTATTTTTATTACATGATCCATAATTCACTTGACATATAAAAAAACAAAAAAAAAAGAAAAAAAGGAAAGGAACCATTTTCCCACGTGGCAGGCCCATGGTGGTGAACAGAAAGCAACCCCCATGTCCACCTCAGGCAACATACCAGATTATGACAAGTTGACCAACACAGAAGATGACATGGCAGATTTTTT